CTTGACAGATGAAGTCATGCCTGATTATTGCTAGAATTCTATCGTGTGCAGGATGTGAACAGATGTTCTGTCGAAAAGACTTCAACGAACATCGACAACAACTCTCTACGCAACTCAACCTCGTCATCAGTGATGCCGATCTTCTCAAAGAAAACATCGAACAGACATGTGATGCCACCACTTCAAAGGTGTTCGATGAGATTGAGAAGTGGGAGATGGAGTGGATGAAGAAGGTGAAGATGGCTGCTGATCGTGCACGAGAAGAAGTGCGTGACATTGTTGCTGAGCCGAAGAAGCAGCTCAAACGAATCACAGACGACGTTCGCCCGAGAATGGCAGAGGAGGACTTTGTCGAATATGATCTGAATCGATGGATGGATGAAATAAAGCAGCTGACTGTAGACATTAAGGCCATGTCATCGACGCTTGTCATAGAAGGTGGTGATGAGTGTGAGTGGAAGAGACTGCTCAAAGTGAGAAAGATGGAGCATCAGAGTCTTGTGTCCAAGTCACCACAGAGAAGTGAGAAGGGAGCCAATGAAGAGAAACAACTCGACTTCAATAAACTCAAAGACAGATCACAGAGACAGATCAAAGTGTATAGATCTGATTATGCTATAGGAGCATCTAATACGAACTTGCTCTGCCGTGGTGATCGAGATACTCTGTGTTTGACTGATCGAACTGGTCACAAGACAAATACACTTTGGTGGAATGGAGGAAATATCTGGGATATCTGTTGGTCATCATTTCTTGACAGATTTCTGATATTGACGAAAAGAACTCTTCATTCATTGAATGTCCAAACAAGTGAAGTGACACAGATCAAACAAGTGTCAGACAAGAACAGAGCAGACTTTTACAGATGTACTTGTTCAAATCAAACAACGTTGGTGTGTTTTAATAAGAAAGGATCAGTTGTTGAAGAGTGGGATATGAGTGGAGAATGGAAAATGATGAGACGATGGCAACCACCTGTATCCTGTCAACAGAATGAGTGGATTGGTGATATTCGATTCTCAATTGATGGCAGTCAGTTAGGAGTAACAGTGTGGGTAGATGGTCGATACAATCAGTTTCATGTACGAGATCGATCAATGAACATCCTCAATAACATCACATTTCCTTCATCGAAATCCGGGTATCGTCTTATCTGTCTTCCAAATGGACAATGGCTGACACATGAGCATGAGAATAAAGAACTTCATATAATTGGCAGAGATGGTAAATTAGAACAAACTCTCACATATAATACGTGTGTATGGAGAGCAGCATTATTAAGAAGATGTCTTGTTATTCGAACAGATGACAATGAACTCTGTTTTCAAGATTTATGATGTTGGTTGAGAAGAACGTGAATATCGATTCCATTGATCAGCTGTGTTTGGATTTAAAATATTTAAAATGTGCCAGATGAGGTGATTGCAAGCCGAACGTAACTTTTGAGAAAAGAAACGATCATTCAAAACGTCGTTGTTTCTCTGAACCATAGTAAACGACTCTTTTATGGTATATTGCATGTACCTACGGATAGTTTGTAGGCTGATATTAGCCTTTTGAGCCTTTTCTCGCCGCGGATATGAAAAAAGTAATATTACTTTCTCATCGTAATTTGACATGAGCAGCTACAAGTAAGAAAATTGAGCTAGCGTCGTGAGGAGGCAAATATAAAGATTCAAAAAATGCCTGATCAGACTTTAAAGGACCGGGGCGATTATTTGATGGAATCCGCCCTGCTTGAATTCCATCGACACATACATGGTTAGATGCAGAATGAACAGGAGAACATTTCTAGCCACTCGACAGACCTCAGAAATGCTCTCAGAAAAAACTTCTGACACGTATTATTGATCATATTTTCGAGTGTGTCTCTCTGGGCCTCATACCTCAGTAAAACTATTATATGTCATTCGAAAGCTCTTTTTCTGCGCTATGTTTCTGTATATCACATATACGGAAATAGTCGTTCTCGGGGCAAGTATGTTTAGAAATACTTCCGTCTATGGAAAATAATATCCTATGTGCAAAAAGTCTAAGATAATCTGTGATACCCTTTATCATCTAGCCACTACGATAGATATACCATTCAATAGAGAATTTCACGAGCTTCAAAATGAATAACTCTTTCAGAAATATGCCCACATGGGTCCACAGCTGAAATACTTGGCCGATATAATGATTTTCACCTATCTTAGTGCTTTGAACACTCTGTTAGTCGGTTTTCTGCCATAACGAAAATTATATATTGTTCAAAAACATACCACTGGATAGCCCTTGAAATTCTCTACAAAGTGAGCTGGTCACAATATCCAGACAGGTTGGGTCAGCCACTACAGATATGGAAAAGAAGCTTTTGGGTGTTATCTAAGCAGTACAGTGTGTCATAATCACAAGAACTCTCTTGTTTTTTACTTTTTAGTAAAAGCTGGAAGCAGTCTGAATAACGTTTTGAATAGCCTGAAGATTTTTCTATCAGATGAGGTGCATATCGTCCTTTCATGAGAAAAGTTGATAATAGAGCTTCTGGAAAACCTTACCGCTGAAAAACCAAGTCCTTAGTAATTGAGTATGCTGAATCCGAATATTATGATGGTTTGGGCGTCTAGGCTTCCAGAGACCGGTTTTGTGGAAAACTAGTTTTTTAGAAAATAACCAAAACCTTTCTTAATGACGCATAATTGTAGCCCGCACATTTCTGATTAAAGTCAGACATCTCGCAGCTCTACACCATTCTTTGCAAAGTTAGAGAACTTACAAGAAAAGCCCTAAATTAATTTTTTCTTATTTTTGTCGCTCTGAGCTGACGATGAACATTTAGGGCTCTTCTTATAAATTCTCTAATTTTGCAAAGAAAAATCGTATAGAGCTGGGAGATGTCTCACTTTAATCAGAATTCAGAGGTTTTCGGCTCAGATTTAGAAAATATGAATTTTCTCAGCAATGAAAAGAAATGTCAGTAAAAGTGATTTATTTTTTTATTCTATATTTCAAGACGAATCAGAGGATGTATGAAACTTTGCTTAATCTCTTAACTAAAAAAACTGCGATAACTTTACAAGATGAGTGTCTCGAAACCAAAGATATGTCGGACCCATTTCGCGCTCCAAAATAATTCTTGGCTTAGAACGTTGAAATATAGTTTTCTGTATGCAGTTTTCAACGCTGGATAATAAAAACATAGTTTCACGGCTTCGAAATGAGGTGGAACCAAGATAATGTTTAGTGGATGGCTAAAAACCAGATATTCTTGATCAACGTGAAATTTTCTGTCGAATGATGTATGATTAAGTCCAAAGTAAAAGAGTACTCTAACTTTCAATTTAGAACTCTTATATTAATTTGAAAAGTAGATACCATTTGCAATTTTAAAGTATGATCTCTCACAACAGTTTAACTTCGATCATATAAAACTACTAAAAAAGATATTCCTGGTCCTCGCCAAAGCTGTGTAAATATGTTCCTTACCGAGAAGCACTAACTGGTAAGGGAATACGCATAAGTTGAGTTTGAGGAATTGACCGATGTAGCTCTAAAAATAGTCATTTCCATTCAACTTCTTACTCAAGAGAAGACAGTGATATAACTACCTAATAAGAAACCAACGTCTTGGCTGACAACACTTTGCGTGCCGATCACTTTCTATAAATGCTGACTGCCCCGGTTTACCGCTTGATTTTGCTGCGAAGATCTCACAATATTTGTCGACCATTGTGGAAGTAATTGACCCAGACATAGTTATGAAGCAGGGGGGACAATTGTTGTTGATATTGGCCGATTAGGAATTTGATTTTCGGATGTTGTATCTAGATATTATCGGATGAAAACAAGTGTTTTTAGCCAGAGTTTTTCACAGAACAAAACGTTATGTAACTCACTAGATTTGTCTTTCTGTATTTGTTCGAAGTACATAATCTGACTTATTTTACGAAAACGCTATAATAACGTAGGAAAAAACTGATGTTAATATAATTATTTTAATCTTCCTAAAAAGTGAACAGTACTGTGAACAAATAATAGCTGTTCAATAAAATTGTTATAATGATGCTTTACATATTTCACTCAAAAATGAAAAAAAAATAAATACTCTATGTTTCTCACAAAGAATGATTAACTATATATAATACCGTAAGAGATGCATAATATTATAACGCAAAACTATAGACCAGACGTCTTTATCTGAACTGACCATTGATAATAACTAGAACAAGTCATATCTTTTATTTTCTATAGACAAAAGTTGTTGAACACTTCACAAAAAACAAATGAGTGCTCTGCAAAATTAAAACACACATTGTTTTGTATATCAGATATTTTACAATCATATTCAGTTAATAAATAATATATTGTAGTTATTATTACTAAAGTTATCTCATCTCACAATAAGGTATGTATCACGAGAAAGCAGAACAGAACAAAATATTTCTTCAAAATCCACAGATTTCTAACTTAACCTCTGACTTGCTAAATCGAATAGGATTTGTACAGAAGTTGGAGTAAATATAGCATTAATTAGTGCTCAAGTTAATTTCAATAAGCATTAACCACACTTAAAATGTCACTACTTCTCATCCATTATGTTCAGAAAGTATATATTAGCCACAGAAGATTCAGCATATATTCTTTACATCATCTGCAAAGTATAGACGTCCACTATCATTAGAGTTTTACAGAAATCTGTAATACATCTTTCATATGTTATTAAATGAATACTCGCTTTTGTCCTAATTAACTCACATATTTTTGGTCATTATTATGTATTATTTTCTACTCGACCTCTGGAGAAGTAATACAAATGATGAGTATCAAGATGATCATTATGATCGTTCAAGTCGAAAGACATCATTTTCAATGTTAATGGTTTGCCTTATTATTCTTACAACAGGACAGTATGTTGAACATTTCATTCTATGTACAGCAGCCGATCATCCAGTAACAATGATTGAACACATAAATGCCTACTGTTAGGCGCATCAGACATATTTCAAACCGT